ACTCCGCATCTCGTCGAGGGTACGACTTGATATCCGAGTGTCGAGTGGGGATGGCAAGCAATTGGAGACCAGGGACAGCGTTCTGAATATGTGGGGCATTCTTTCTTTCTCTGGTTATCCCGTGAGTTTGTCATGCTGCCTTCCCTTCACCCATTACTTCCCGTCCGTGTGCGACCGCCGTTATAAGAGTTCGGAGCGAACGCGGCCCTCTTGAATCATCGCATCGGCGCGCACTGCAACGTTCGCTACGCTTCAAGTTGGCGCCATGAACTTTTGCTTGTGAGGGGCCGGTGTACTTCGCGACGTCGTCGAATCGGGTGTTCAGACGCTGTGGTAGTATATAGATGTCAGCGTACGGCCCTCCTTTCCTCCTCCCTTTCTTCCGTTTTTAATTCCGTGACAGTCAATGTACAAACTGACCTCGGTCATTACGCCGAGCGAAAGAAACTACAATACTCTTTGGGCTTACTTATTCTCACAACACTCATTGATGGATAGACGACGAGTCTGACACTAAACTAGCAGCCCCAACACCATTTCCCGACACCCCCGTTCTGTCGTTTGTAATATTCGAGGTGCTGATAGACACGCCCCGACGTCGACCAGCACAAATGCATTATCCATGCCACATCCTACATTCATCACTCCGAGGTTGACCGGCAGTTGCGCCCAACTTCAGCGTCGTAGTACATATGTTGCCGGTCTCGGGAAAATCTATCCGACACTTGTCCGCGCACCGCCGCCTGTGGATGAAGATTCAGAGAGATGTTGTATCGCTGCAGTGGGGAGCAATCCCGATGCACAATTAAACAGGGACGAGACGGCTTCGAATTGAATTCGAGCGCGAGTTGTACACGTCGAACTATTCAGATGCAGAAAACCATAGCAGGTTTGGGCGTTGCGGAGGTGTGTGGATACTGCGAACGTTTGAAAGCGGTATGTGAAGACGCCGGTTACGATCTAATAAAACGACTACCTGGTGTAGTGGTTACATTCATTTGCTCTTGGCATGCGTTTGACACGCATGGGTCGCTGGTTCGACTCGCTTCGAGAGCAAGAAATGCATAAGACTAGAAAGGCCTGGGAAGGTGGCGAAAGCTTTTGTCATTGGATTGACCCTTACCTTATAATGCCTTGTAATGCCTCAACCTCCCTGAACTAATTAGATTGGCTCAACCTATCAGGCTCCCCTTGTCTAATCGCCTTATCACCCATCATCACTGATCTTCATGATCCGAACGTTTTTCCGACAGACCTAGCAGAGGGGCCGCTCCCTTCGCCGGACTTTTCTTTTGGATCTGCAGACCTCTCGGCCGAGGACGACGAAGGGGATCAAACTCAAGCGCCGAGTCCGGGTCGTAGGCGGGTATCATGGTACGTCCTCAGTAGTTCTGATTGAACTGGGTCATCTCAGACAGACACAGTCCGAGTCTCATGAGCCCTCGCAACGAGGATGTCGATGTGGAATCCGGCAGGCCGCGACGCGCGAGTATTGCCGAAGGCTCTTTGAGACGATGACAATTGAATTTGGGACTGTTGTAGTAAGTACATAAACCACGTGATCTCGATTTCGGTATGCACCCTCTAGCATCGGCAAGGCCTGCAAGGGCAGCTGGCGATTGATATAAATGACAATTTCTCATAGTAGATTTGTTATGACCCACTGGAAGCCGCAACCACAGCTTTCGGGACCATTAGAGACCGGTTTTTGGTCTGCGGTGGCCTGTGGCGGGGTTTGGTCGGCGGTGGTCTGTGAGCAGAAACGATCTGAGTGTGAGTGAAGTATCTGGGAATGGAGCGGCTACGAACATTAGACTCGGGCATGACTCTTCTGGGAAGCTTTGAGGGCTGAAGGAGATCTAGAGAAGGACGAGGGCGGCTTATATGCCTGTCAGAAATCAGCGCCCAGGACTGCAATTAGAATGATTCTCCCATGTTATCTGTGAGCGGCAACTGTTTAAAGGTAAGCTGTACTAGAGATCATTCTACAGGAAACCGTTCAACACGAGCTGTTTTTGAACAATACATTCCGGGAATCGGAAATAGTCCAAGGCTTCCGCGTATAAAATTGATACACGAAGTTTGGGTCGAAATGAGAGCGACCTGAGAGCGATACCAACACCTGAAAACTAGCTTGCAGTATTCTCAACACTCCAGAGAATTCCTGCCCAGAAAGTGATTCAGATAACATCATGCCACGCTGATGGGCGACACCTTCTGTCTCTAGACCATCATCTCATGTCGACGTCGATCGTGGAAACCTCGGCCTTTCTACAGCATTTGCGCTCAATGTTCGCGCGGCGCACTGCCTCTCCACGTTCCCTCCGCTCTCGAAGATGCCACTGGCCTCTCCATTCGTCGTCGGTGTCGCCCTCACCTTTGGGTCCTTCGGAGACATCTTGGAAGCGGCCAGAATCGCTAAACGCATCATCGACACTCTTCGAAAGACTGCAGGAAGCTCACACCGCCGTCACCAGCTCGTCGCGGCTCTGGAGGGACTGTGCGAAGATATGAGCAAGCTCACGCTCGTTTTCGGGCAAGGGCACTTCACGGATAGGCTCTGGGCCGAAGTCGAGCTCTGTCGCTCACTTCTCGCTGATTTCGCCGCCAAAATCAAGTCATACGAAGCCGCAGCTGCAGGTTTTGGTGGGTTTCTTCGCAAGTCGTGGATGGCCGCGATGGAGGAAAAGGAGATAACAGCGTGGAAAGCGCAAATATCGGAGCGGCGTGCTGTGCTCCGTGAACTTTTGTCTTCATCCAACAGGTTCGGTGTCTTATCCGCGGGGTTTTTCACGGTAATCTCACTTTTCCTAGTATCAAATTGCACGAGGTGGGAGAACAGCTTGGACGAGTGGGCTCCCAGGTGCAGTATATCGGGTCAAGGGTCAACTCTGTCGAAGCGTCGGTGATGTCTTCTTCCCTGTAGTTCTACGCTCAGCGTTGTGACAGTGTCATATCCTCATTTTTGTCCGCGCAAGTCTCCCAGCGTGGCGGTGAGATCCGCGACGCAATGGCTGAGATACGCCAACTGGGCACCGCCGTCCAACAGCTATTTGCCCAGATGTCACTCCACGATATACGGGACCCCGTCTTTTGCGTTGTAGATCCGATTGGACGCTCCATACCAGTTCCACTGGCCTATTTGACCACATTTGAAGTACGTTCACGGTTCAAGTAACCTACATGATAAGGACTCGACTGACTTTGAGACAGGATCTTCACCGCATTTTGCAGGCCTACCTGTTCAACTCCCCAGAGGCAGGAAGAAGTTACATCGACCGAGGGGACTACAGTATCGTCTCTGCCGACGGCGACGTTATTCCATATCCCAAAGTCTGTGGCAGGGTGAGCCCGTCGACGCAAATCCACATTAGCATCATCAAGCGGACCGTGCGTCCTCGAACGCCAAGGCAGATGTGCCCTGAGTGCAGCAGAACTAGCGCAGAGGCCAAGGAGGATAGTTGGGTTGAATGGTACGCATGGTCTACGCACTTCAAATTGGGATTATTGATTGAACTCTTGCCCATTTGAACAGTACTGAAAGAACGTGCGGAGCGCGATATCAGCTCTCTTCTGTGCCTTGGATATTGGTTGAAGCGGCTGCCTCTGAGCCGGACACGCCTGGGTTTGAAGAAGTTGCTGAGCTACAGACGTGCGTGATCGTCAATCCAGACTCAGATTCAACTGGACGTGAATTTTAGGCATCACGAAGTAACAGAAACCTTTCGTATGGTGCAAATTGTCCACGTACGTTCCGAGTCGTTTCTACTGTATGCGCTCGATGTTTTTTGACAGGAGGGAAGTGTTGGATTTCATGGTTTATCGCGTTGACTAATTGGATTGCCTTTTCAACCAGGAGGTGAGTTGCACCCGTACAATTAGTGTTTGTAGTTCCGAGTCCCTTTAAACAGCTGGTAAGTGTTGACCTCTGCGCACGTCGACGCAAATACTCACTTTTTCTTCCGCCAGCTGGTGAGTAATGGGATGCAAAATCTGCTTGATCAGTCGGAGTTCTTCTTGCAAACGCCTGTATGTAGTATCATCCATCATGCGCCAATCATTGACCAGTTATGGTAAGGCGGTGCGTCGTTCTGTCGAATGTGATGTTTTTGGCCGACCCAGTTTGTTCTGCTAGTTGGTGCGTGTCCTTCCTTTCTCCAGCGATGTGAATACAGTGGCTTACTGGATCTATTTGCAGGAGGTGAGTTGCACGCGGTTCTGGGATGTCGCAACTGGACTGAGGAGCGACATTCGCAGCGGGTGAGTCTCTGCAACAACATGCCCGGATACCATTCGAATTGGTTGTTCCACAGATGGTGAGCTGCTTGCCAAGCTACATCCAACCCGCGACTTGAATTCAATCTGCCTTTCCAACAGTTCGTGAGTCCTGTTTTCAATTGAACGCTCGCACATCCTTTGATGTATTTCATTCGAACAGCCAGTGAGTATCAACACATCGACAGCTTTTCTACTCTCAACTTCCACTGCCTAGCATGTCAGTGATATTCAACCTTTCTTGTCCGACAAACCAGTCAACAACGCTCTTTCGACAGGAGGTCAGCGTTTTGCAGTCTCGCAACTTCCGAACTCTGGTATTCACCTTAAAACAGATTGTAAGCTCTTGCCAATCGTTCCCTTGTCAAACAGTTTGAATCGTGATTCGTTGCTCGACAGGAAGTGAGTTGGCTGTCCTTACCTCGTATTTCAGTCAGACTTGATGAAACTCTTTCGCAGCGCATGAACTTCCCAATCGCTGGGTCCGACCATGTGCCGTGAAATCCATTACCCGGGCTTTGTGGAGTGTTGTAAGTATGTGGCAGCCGTTCCGTAGATATTGACTCATAAAATTTTGAAGGTCCTCTGGTCGAGGTACAGTGACGTTGGAGGGATATTATGAAATCTTTTGTTCTTTCTCGGGTTTTCTTCAATCTCGACTCCATCGCAAGAGGTCTCCGCGGAAATTTTCATCATACAGATTCGACATTTCGGATTCCTTCCAGGGGCGTCATAGCTCAGCTGGGAGAACAACAGACTGAAGTATAGGTGGTATCGTATTTGGATAATTTGGAGGTCCCGTGTTCAATCCACGGTGTTCAATCCACGGTGTTCAATCCACGGTGATGCCACCATTTTGCGCCTCGTTGCTCCGTCTCGCTCCGTGCACTCTACAGAGGCTCGGAGTCTAATACTTTCCGGTGTGAGTTTGGATTGTTAAATAAACTGTTTGCACTTCTCGTGTATCGTTACCTACCTACCTTTCAACACTTTGCCTTGCCAACTATTTCGCCTCACCAGGACCACGGTTGGCATCGTGCTTGGCTTCCGCAAAAGTTGAACTGCAAGAAACGTCTCACTTACCTAGAGTGTAGATTGGATATAGGGGCTTCAACGGCGTCATAGCTCAGCTGGGAGAGCAACAGACTGAAGTAACATCCTTTCGAAATCTGGAGGTCCCGTGTTCAATCCACGGTGATGCCATTATTTTGCTCCTGCTTCCTTGTGGCTTTTGGAAAGGAGAGTGACCACCAGTAGCAGTGGTGTTGCGACCGACACGGGCCCTGGTACGGGTTGAACGTGCGTGTTCATCCCACTCTTGATCTCTCATTCGAAACCCGCAAGCCGCACGAGAAAATGTCTTTGCACCGGAGCCGCCCAAGCGCCTGTGTATCTCCAGCGTACATTCCTAAACTTTGTCGATCTTGGTTGAGATTTCCCCAAAAAACACGGAACTGTACGCCGCGTCGTGTGGGTTGAAGCCCGAATCCACCAGAGCTGCCAACGCCTTACCGACGGCCGGAATGCCGCCGGATGGTCCAACACCCTGCTGCATGTCCTCCGCGGAGCCCAGTCAGATTCATGCCTCGGAGATAGGTGGCTCAAGGGAACATGGGAGCAAGATTGCATTGCAAAGCATACTTACAGGACTCAATAGTTGTTAATCTTGGTAAGGATATCCGCCGAGAAGACGCTACTGTACACCGTATTCTCGCTATCAGCGTTAAACCCGAATTCCCCCAGCCGGGTCAGCAACAGGTTCGCAACCTCCGAGTGCTCGAATATCTGGAAATGTGAGAGTCCGAGCAAGGTCAAAACCTCGCTATCACTCACTTCCTTCAAGTGGTCCAAAGTCTGTGAAAAGTGAGTCAGAGATTTGTTGTTCAAGCGGAGATGTCCACGCACCTCAGTACTTGCACGGACGACGAGAAGAGGCTCTGGGGCGGGGTAGCCAAGTTCCTTGATATGTTCCTCCACTGCATCATTCTGCGTCCACAGCGAGTAGCTCAAAAACCGATTCCGAACAGGCTGGGCAACGACGTCGTCCATAAGGCCCTCCATTCCCTTGGCGAAGTCGTCCTCGGAAAGGTGGGGCGGTCTCACCGGGCAGGTGTCCAGGTTCGACCTTGGTGATGATGTCAGCTGCGAAGGCGGTCGGATTTTGGAGGAAGCCAAAGTCGTCAGATGTAGAGAGGAGCGTTTGGAGAGCTGGATCTTTGAGAAACTGGGAACAGCTGAGTTATAAACGGAAAATAGAGCCTGGTGGGCCGCAAACCTTGGTGAGATGTTCGAAAGTCTAGGACAACAATCGAAAAAAGATACGGATGTAGGGAGAGGATGTGATGTACTTCGTATTCAGCCGACATAACCACAGTGGGTGGAGCCAACGGGAGCCCGACCCCCTTCAAATGTTTGTCCATGAGAGTGTTCTCGAATATCTGATGGGACATGAGCAACTGTCGATAAGAGCCGCAGCGATGCATGCCATGTCGAGCTTGAGGAGATTATCCCGTGCGACGGGGAGAGCAGCTATGGCATCTCCGAGAGCATTTGCTTTGGCTTCAAATTCGGCGCGTGTCAAGTTGATCGGGCCTTTGTGGATACTGATAAAGGCGGACGCCTTGGTTGAAGTCATCGCGACTTGTGGGCAGCAGCTGGGAAGGGAAGGCGGGACTTTTAAGCGCAAAGCAGGCCCATTTGCCCAGATGTGAGTAGTGCGGCCCCGAATGGCGGAAATAGCAGATGTGAGCGGAGGAGAGCATCGTCGTCATCATATGACCAAGTCACGGCTGCGAAGAGGGTTCTTTCCAGACAGGATGAATGGAATCGAGAAACGCCACCGGCGAGACCGTTGGAGGCAAGTTGGACTCAGAGTTGGAGGGCGCTGACGGACGGGAAACGAATCACGATGGTGGTGGAGGTGGAGCTGGGTACGCTCCACATGAGCGTCGCAGCGAGAAGTCGTACGGGAAAGCAATGAGCGAACAATTGCATCGGCGAGCCTGACGAGGTGGTGGTTCGGGTCCAAGCGGCTAAGCCGAGAGTGATGCGGATCAATCTTACCCACGCTTGCTCCACGTGATCAAACCTTGCTTGTCCTTTGCATTCACCCACGCGAAAGTCGATGCGCTCTCTTCGTGCGCTCAAATAGGCCGCTTGAATTCAAGAGTCAACTCCATCAGCCGCGACCCTGCGTGGCTCGACCCTCTTTTCAAGCCACCCAGATTCCAGCGTGCTTGGGACTGCTTCCAACGGCCAGTCACGATGCCCTCTGGGCTAAGCAAGAACAGGCTTGTATTTACAGCCCCGCACGACATCCAACTAGCCTCCTCCGATCCGATTGCGTGGGAGGAAAGGTGGGAGCAGGTCTTTACTGCACTTGCCACCAGTCGTCGGCGCGTTCTCGGGCTCAGTTATGAAGAAGAGATCGTTCTCGACGCGGCCACAGCGCCGTGTATGCAGGACCCAAAGTACCGAGACTCTGTACTTCGTACGATCCGTTCCCTGCAGAAGGCCATGTGCAGCGCCCAGGCGAACATGAACGAGGATGGTGCTCCATCGTCCCTTGTCGTGCAGCAGAGATGGATGTCGGCGTCTCCTACAAGGCGTGGCGAGATCATTCTCGCTGGCTTGGTCTCTGCTTGCACCAATATACCTACTCTGAACGATGCACGATGCCTTTGCGCAAAGGAGATGAGCGTCAAATCGCACCGACAGAATGCTCACCTGTTCCTCGATCTTTTGGCAGAGATGAGGGTACGGAATCCAACCCCTGGCCATCACTCCACGCCCGTCTATGTCTCCAACCCGTGTGGGATGCCATTGTCGCTGCTCAGAAATCGCCCAAGACTACAGTCGTTGCCAAGATCGCACCGGCCGAGATTCTCGTTCACCGGAACATGTTGATTGGTGAGGATTCAGCTGCCGGACACTCTATTTGTCTGAAACTTTGGTAGTATATGTGGTACACTTTGCACATCGCACGATTTTCGACGCGTCAGTTCCTGGGCTCCATCAAGTCAAGACCGGTCCCAAACCTTGCAATTCTCAATTACATAACCCTGTACAGCCCACCCTTCTATCCAGTGTTCGCGCGACTTGCGGGGAAGAAGTGGCCCAAGAATTCGTGAAAGTGGCGCGTCGGGTGGACAAGTGAGTGCGCGCTCAAAAGAAAGAAGTGCATGCAATGGCGAAAGAAATCTGCCAGTCGTGCAGAAAAGTCAATGATACAACGTCAAAGTTCCCGCGCTGCAAACGATGCTGGGACACAATGCAGAGGTAGGTTTCGTACTGCTCACCGTGCGTGGCGTCCATTTTCTTGTCCATTAAATCGCTGACCGCGAATCCAAGTGAATGTCAAAAGATCGACTGGAAAGCTGGGCATAAGAAAGGAGTGTGGTGAACTCCTACAGCTCGAGGATTTGACGCTCTGAGTTGGCACCTCTTGTGTCTCGATGGCCCTCGGCTCGCGCGCAGCGCGCTCTACGTCGCCAGGCTCGCATACTACACTTACCCGGCGAGAGGGTAGACTTTGACGCATGAGATGTTGAAGTTTGGTTGAAGTCAAATGCAAGTCAAATGTACGTATATGTAACAACCAATATTATGTAACTTTATCCGGCCGCTCATCGGCATTGATGCGGATCAATCAGCGTGCCGTCACTTGTGCGCCTTTTGTCTTCCCACTTGCTTCCCACTGCCCGCAACTCGCCTTATACGATGGCTCACATAACTGCGAACTCACCTGGGATGCTACCTGACATTCAACTGGCCTTTTCCGATCCTCTCGCGTGGGAGGAAAGGTGGGAGCAGGTCTTCGCTGTAATCAAGGCCGGCCAGCGTCTTCTCTCGGCGGGAGTCTCTGCTGCAGAGTACAGCGTTCAAAGCTATGCGGTAATGCCGCACATGCAGGACCCAAAAAAGCGTGACGCCGTGATCGGTTACATCCGATCCATGCGAAAGACGTTGTGCGACTTACAGGCGCAGATCACCCACTATGCTGCACCGTTCTTTGCCGGGAACAACCTGCAGCGGAGATGGATGTCTGCGACCCCTGCGAAGCGTGGCGAGATTATTCTCGCTGGCCTGGTCAAGGCTTGCACCGCTACTGCTTCCATGCACATGGCTCGATGGTATTGCGAAAAAGAGTTGAGGGTCGAATCACACCGACAAAATGGTTGCCTGTTCCTCGATCTTTTGGAGGAGATGATGGTACAAAACCCAACCGCTGGCTCCCCCAACATGCCAACCTATATCTCCAACCCGGTGTGGGATGCCATCGTCGCTCAGCAAGCGTCCAACGCTACAATCCCTGCAAAGACCGCGCTGAAAAGCCACCTCGCCGATCGGAATATGCTAATTGGTGAGTATTTAATTTCATGAGCATCACTTGGTCGACGCTCTTGGACATTGATCTTCCCAGGCTTCGTGGTACATTTCGCACTTTGCTCGATTCTCGACATAGCGCTCCCTGAACTGTATTCAACAAAATCCAAACCTGACAAACCTACATCCCAGGACACGCGACTTCTCGAGAAAATACTGCCCGTGGCTTACAACGAAGACACGGTCAAGGCAATGGAGAAAATCGCGCGTCAAGTTGCAAAGGGAGTGTACGCTCACCAGAGGGAGGAATATGCGAGGGGGAAGCAAGAATGCGAGACTTGCACAAAACCCAATGATACGACGACAAAGTACCCGCGCTGCAAACGATGTTGGGATACGATGGAGAGGGAGGTTTTGTACTGCTCCTCGTGCGTACCGTCCATTTTTTTCTTGTCACTTCGAGTTCCCAAATGTAAATCCCTCAGTGAATGCCAAAAGGTCGATTGGAAAGCAGGACACAAGAACGAGTGCGGCAAATTGTTACAACTCGAGGAATTGACGCCGTCAACTTCCGACCACTCTCCTCGAATCGGCCCTCCACTCCCCGGTTTTAAGCGCTCAGGCGCACTCCTGTTCCAAGTCTCGGCACTGAACCAGCTATCCCCCGACTACGAATACCTCATAAGGGTACCCAACGCTTACGTGTACTTTGCCTTTCCGCACCCGCCTATTTGCGCCGCCGTTCGCGCCTGTAGGGACAAGGCATTGTCAACGGGTGATCGCCGCGCCGTCGCGATGCTCGCACATTTCCTCTTCGTTGTGTGCACCATTGACCCGCGGCCGCAAAGGATTGGTGTGGACCGGGCTGTTATGATGGG